CAGAGGAAGCCCCCTGTGGCCCCATGCCTGCCTCCTGGTGAGACCTCAAGCAGCCTAGTCCATGCCCTAGTCTCCCTGACCCAAGTGGGGATTTCAGAGAACCTATCTGACCTGAAAGTGAAGATTCAGGGGATGGTCATGAGGAGCAGTGTCTTCATGTCCCCACGGTCCATCCGTCCCTGGGAGGCCTTGGAGCAGCAAGGGCTTCCTCCTGACCAGGTGACGGTGCCTTGGAAGGGCATCCTTCTAGCATAGAGCGAGATGAGGGAAGGCTGAGAGGCTATTTGGAGTGATGCTGTGTGGAGGTTAATACTGTCAACTTAAGTAGATTTAGAGCTACCATGAAGACAAACCCCTGTGCATGTCTGTGAAGGATTTTCTGGATTGGGTTAATCAAGGTAGAAAGACCCACCCTAAATCTGGGTGACTCCATTCCACGGGCTAGGGGCCCAGACCGAATCAAAAGGAGACAGTGGTCTGAGTAGCATCATTCAACTCTCTTTGCTTCCTGACTGTGGATATAATGTGGCCAGCAGCCTCATGTTCCTGTCACCATGTGTTCCCCTTCAAATGGAGTTCTAGGCTAGTCGGGGCCACACAGTGAGACCCTGTACAAACAAACAAACAAACAAACAAACAAACAAACAAACAAAGAGGTGGAGCCCACTGGGAGGTCTGTAGGTCATTGGAGGCATGCCATCCAAGGGGATGATGGGATCCTGATCGCTATAGTAAATGGAACCATTTTTTCCCATTTTTGCTCCTGCATGATGAGCCACCATCTGCCAGACTTGGGTCTACCAATCTTGGCTTTGAACTAACTACTCTCAAGGAAGTTTGCTCTAAGCAAAGCTCTCTTTCATTAACAGGTACCCTGGGCTAGGTATTCATTGTAGTTATGCAAAGCTGACCAGTCCATTCAACCTTCTGGTCTCAAGTTTCTGGTCAGCTGTGACCTGGGCAAGCTGCTTACACCCTGGATTCAATTCTCCCACCTGTAAATGTAAAATGGAGAGTATCTCCATGAGCTCTGGATACCCAGGGCACAGAGGACTCTGAGTGAATGACAGCTACTCCATCCCTCATGGCTGTATATTTTTTGTGATGCCTCAATCTGGGTCTGTCTTGAGGTGGATAATTCATTCAAACATGTGTTGGTTGAGGGAGGGAGTGACGAACAGAACAGTAGGGACAATGTCAGCAAGCACACATTCCTGGTGTTTTGCTGAAGGCCCTGGCATTTGGGCTTGTGCTGTCTGTGTGTGCTGCCTGTTCTGTTTTCTCAATTACTTCTTTTTCTGGAATCCCAGTACATTGAATCCATCAAGTTGACAGCTGATAGCCAAGTGGCACTGATGACAGAGACCCTGATGAGAAGTCAGGGTGACAACCCACTGCCTTTCCACCACCCTGGAATTCATGTCTTCTGACATCCACCAAATGGTTTCTTGGAGGCCTCTTGATAAACGAGCGGCTGAGGTATGGGGTTATGGCAGTTTGCTTAAGACCTCCCAGTGTCAGGACTGCAGCATTTGTGGGTTCCCAGAGCTCCCAGTTGCCTGTGCGTGTGGTCTCCCCAGCCTTCTCCCTCAGCTGATTCACGTGGTTGTGGCTAGGAGAGGGACTGAATTGCCTACTCAGGATTGCTCAGTTCCTGGAGTTGAGAGGTCTTAGGCTCCGAGCAATGTCCTGAGCACAGATGGAAGAGGTGGCTGGGCCCAGTGAGCAGAAGGCATTTGCTTGCCCTCTGGAAGGCAGTTCATTAATGAGGACAGTGATTCTTTTTTTCTTTTTCTTATTTTTAATGATGTGTGTATGTGTGTGGGCCTGTGTGTATGTACATGAGCATAGGCATCTGTAGAGGCTAGAAGAGGGTACCTGATCTCATGGAGCTGCAGTTACAGGTGGCTTTGAGCCTCCAGACATGGGTGCTGGGAACGAAACTCAGGTCCTCTGCAAAAGCGATCTTAAATGTCTCCAGTCCCAGGATTTTTAGAGGCAGAAACAAGTCCCCCTGACCCACTTTCTTCCCACCCAAGCCTGGTCAGGGGTGCTCACAGCCAAAGTCATGGCAGATGGACATTATCTCTAACTCCTCCACTCTGACTGGTCCTAAGTGACTGCCAAGTCCTTTTTAGCAGTGCAAACTGCCTTTTTCTTTTATTTTTGTGTTCTCTTTACTTTTAACTGTAGATGCTAAGAATTACAAATATATGTTTAAGGACTAGAGAGACAATTCAGCTGGCAAAATGCTTATCACACAAGCACAAGGACCTGAGTTTGATCCCCAGAGCCCATGTGAAAAAGCCAGGCATAGTGGTGCATGCTTGTAAGCTCAGGTGGAGACAGGTGGGTCCCTGGGGCCCTCAAGCCAGCCTAGCTGACTTGGCAAGCTACAGGCCAGTGAGAGGTCCTGTCTTGGGAAAAAAGGCAGATGTGTTACCTGAAGAATGGCATTGGAGGGTACCACTGGCCTCCACATGCATGCACACTCACCCCCCTGACACACATGTGCACCCCCTACAAATATGCACACATACAATATTAAGCTGAAATTAAATGCTATAGTGTGCAGTCTCTTGGATTCTACACACTGCTTACCAAGACAAGTGGACATTACCAAGCCTTTTCTATTTGTCTTTTTCTACCATTTCTAGATGAGAAAAAATGGGTAAAATCATAACTCAAAGTGTACCAGCATCGAAACAATAAAACACAGGTCTGTATCTATGGGAAAATGTGCCCAGACAGATCCTAAAGTGGAATCTTCACTCTGGGTTTTCAATCTCATGGGCAAAGTATCCTTTGATCAAATGCTAACAAATGGGAAACAAAGCCCAGAATGTTCTTGGGCAAAGCTTCGGAATTATATTCATAACGGGTATAAATAGTTCTCCACAGTGAAGGCCAGGCCACAAAGCCACATTCCCAAAATAGCAACAGGCTTTCCAGCAGGCTGGTGTTCTTTAAAAACTGCATGACCCAAATCCCACCATTATCCACCGAGAAACCCTCAGCCCCTCCCTTCCCCTCCAGAGCTCCACCCTGCACCCTTTCCATCACTCACTTGGCATGCTCTGAATAGAAGAAATAAGTGTAAAGTTGCTTAAGAGGCCAGAGCTCCCCTTTCCACAGCCTGGGATGGGATTTTCCTTTCCTTTGTTAGTGTTTGTTTTGGGAAGAGGGGCGTGGGAAAATTGCTGTGGTCAACCTTCAGGTGACACCTCATTGACAACAGACAAAAGTCTTTTCAGAAAACAACCGAAGAGCTACAGCTCTGCAGGAGAAGTCCTGCAGGGGCCACCTAGGGCCTTCTTCAGGGGCAGGAAGAAAGGAACTGATGGCAGCTGGCTTAAGGACAACTTAAGTGGCCTTGGTTGCACCAGAAACTGGCTGTGTTGTGGTGCGTCTCCTAGACTAATACCTGGGAGCAGGAGTTTAATGGGAGGCAGACTTAATTTGACTCGTTTCTGAGGTCTTGTTCCATGACTGGCTCTGTTGCTCAGGGGCCTGTCTGTGGTGAGGCAGGGCATCCTGGTGGAGAGGGTTGTTGGGCACAGCTGCTCACCTAATGGTGTCTGGAAGCAGAGACATCAAGAAAGAGCTGGAGACAAGATATTTCCTACAAAGGTAGTTTCTCTCGATAGATCTGCCTCCTAAACTTTCTACCAGCTCTGGAGAATGCCATTGAATCCCGAGTCTCTCAGTAGATGAACCCACTATTCCCCCAAAAGCTCACGTGTTAAAGGCTTGATTGACAATTGATGGGCTTTTGAAATGTGATTGGGTCCTGCGAGCTCGGACCTAATCAGTGTTTCTCTAGATTACTTATAACAGCTAGTGCATGGTCAGTGTCATGTAGACAGCTGTTCTGTGTATGGTCGACAGAAGAATCAGGGAAAAGTTCTGCACACGGTCAGTACAGATGCTCCCTTCTTTTCCACCAATATTTTCAACCCACAGTTAGTTAAAGCTGTAGATGCAGATGCAGAAACAGCAGGCTGACTATACAGTGAAAGGGCTGTGAGCAGAGGTGTCAGCAGAGCCTTTGCCGTGTAGACCCACGTCTGTGAGGACAGTCCCTGGGCCAGGGGAAGGATTGCCCCAGTTCACATGGGGGTAGTTTAGTGTCCTCCTTAAAGCTGCTAAGAGGACAAGTGGCTGTCAGCATTAGCAGCCAAGCCATGATGAGCCTTCAGAATTTCTCTGGGTACCTGTGGGCACAGCTCCAAGGGCATGGGTTAAATGACAGTGCCGAGAAAGCAGACATCCTGGCCCCCAGAGGCCTGGTGCCCATCGGTATTGCAGAACCCCCTTGATGGTACACAGAACCTGTGATTTGAAGAAGGCCTTCAGGACTAGCCTGGTAGTAAGCTGTCACCCCCTGATATGAGGCTGGAGGTCATTCATCTTTGCTTCCACCTGACTTTCCATCCAATGCACTTCTCTATCCTCCCATGGGGCTACTGTATAGTCAACAGCAGGCTGTTTTCTGATGACTGAAGATGATGAGTGATATGTATTTTGGACCAAGAATCAAGGCAAAGTGAATGGCAGTTGCTGATATCTTCCTGTCTGGCTATCCCATGGTCCTTGGCAATCACTCACTGCTTTGGGAATGCTACCTCTATTTGGGGCTTGAAAGTCCTTGTTGGTCCTTCTGTTCCATGTCAGTTACTGAGTTCCCAGCGTCATAAGGGGACTCCTACTGGTGTCCTGCGCCTATGGTTCATATACAGTTCTCCTTCCTGCCATGTGCCTGCTGGGATGCTGGCTCTGTGCTGATTGGTGCCACATTACCACATCTATGAGGTAGAGCGTGTGTGTGTGTGTGTGTTGCATGTACACGAGTGTTCAGGTGCCAGTATGCGTGCATAGGGATGCCAGAGCAGGACTTCGGGTGTCCTTCTCTATTGCTTTCTACCTTATTGCCTTGAGACAGTGTCTGTCACTGAACTGGAAGCTTATATTTCTTTTCTTTCTTTTTTTTTTTGATCAAGGAGGCCAAGGAGACCCCAACAGATGGACTTGAGCCAGTGTCCAGTCTATAAAGAGGAGGGTCAACACGGAGGAATCATTTCCTCCATGCTTCCAAGAGAAGCCAACAATGGTTGAGCAGGACCTTTGACTTATCTTCACATAGATGGAACTGATAAAAGAAAGGAGCCAGGGGCTCCTCCCAACCTCATGGGACCCCTGAGGAACAAATCCTCTAACGACCTCAAGAGTAAAAACAAATCAGTTTATCTGGTCCAATTGTATGTCCTTAAACACCGAAAAGGGAAGTACAACCAAAGATTAAAGGGGCCAATATAATTTCATAAGAGCA